GGAAGCAAAATTTTGCGAACGGAGCTGTTTGTGACCCGAATTGGTCGTGAACAGAAGGGTTCGTGACCCGAGGTACCACTGTATAGGCATCTTCTATAAATTTGAGTGCAGTGAAGGGAAAACCCCAACCTCCTCCTAAGTAAGCCACAGCTGCTGACTGTAAGTGCCTGTGGACTCAGGGCTGGCTAAGCTTAAACACTGCTCTGTCAAAAGAGCAGGTTTGGGGGTTGGAGAAGAAGATGAAGGCAGACATCAGATACCAGAGGATGATGACAAAGAGAAGCCTACAGAGGAAGTGCTGGAAATTACCCATATCAAGGCCTGTATAAACAGACTCTCCCAGCCGTCTATGCTGTTTGGTTGGAACCTGTCTCATTTATCAGGCCCTAAATAAAGCTGGTTCCGCTATTGGAATTCCTTAGGTGAGGAAAGGAAGGGGCTGGGGTTTTCACAAGTAGGGATTTGCCTGTTTGCTGAGGCTGGGACTTCCATTGAGTCTGGTGGTGCAAAGGAGGATAACAAGTCTGGAACTGCTGCTGCCTGTCCCATTTTTCTCCCTAAATTTGAATATTTTTATGTTTGAGAATTTTTGTTTTGTATGTTCAGTTTGGACTGCTGACACTCCAAAGAGACTCTGTTGGTTTTCAACCCCAAGCCCTGAATGCTTAAGGGTCTGTGAAGAATAAACTTCAGCAGGTTTTCTATGTCTTTGGAGTCCAGTCTTCATTTGCTGTTACTCATGAGTCAGACCACTTCTCTGTCTACTTTGCCACATTTAGGTCTGGATATTTTGTTTAAGTGCTTCTTGTAGCTAGTTTTGTGTGTGTGTGTGTGTGTGTGTGTGTGTGTGTGACTTCAAGTCAGTACTGACTCCTGGAGTCCTGGACTAGTCCTAGCAGTTTTCTTGGTGAGATTTTCAAAAGTGGTTTGCCCTTGCCTCCTTCCTAGGGCTGAGAGGGAGGGACTGGCCCAAGGTCATCCAGCTATTTTGTGCCTAAGGTCTCCCAGTTTCTAGCCTGGTGTCTTAACTACTGCACCAAACATAATATTACTTTTAGCTTTAAGGTTTTCATTTGTGCTTTAAGTGAAGTAGAGATCAGTGGCTGCATTTGAACAGGAAAACATAAGCATTATTGGTCAAGATAATAACTTTATATGCTTAATTATGTAAATGCTTCCTGTAATTTAGTGAATAAAATTGTGGACTGTCTATCAAGAGCACATAATGGGGGTTATCTCTAGTTCCAGCTATGAATGAAAGCCAGTGGATCTGTGATGGACTGTGTCTACAAGGAGGAGAGTGATGTGGTCAAGGCTATCAGGAGGGAGAGGGTGCATTCCAGGAGGAGGGAGGAGACAAGAGGCAGCTGAGTCCGCAAGAGGAGCATGGGAAGCGAAAGAGGTTCAGGATAGCCACTCCCTAGAATCTCCCAGGGTATATCCACTAGTTGCTGTAGTATAGATTTAGTCTGGTAAGATTCTATAAAGGGCAAGCAAATAAAGGACCTATACTGGACTGAACTGTTTCATCGTTGTTCTTGGGCTGGGCCTGACAGGATCATTCTTGAAGTAGACCCACTGAAACTATTAGAACAAAACTGGGTAAACAAACAAACAATTATTTGGCTATGTATGTGAAGAAATCTTTGGAATGTCTCCAGCACAGTCTATTTGCTGACAGATCAGGTTCCCCTCCCTTCTCCCCCAGTCCAGTCTGTTCTGGAGCCCAGGGAGATCATTCAAAGTAGAATTGGGATGAAGAGGAGCAAGAGGAAATCTGTTTGGGTGACATAGGATATAGTGTTTTGAGAGAATCTGTTTCACTGAAATTTATTGAATAATTCATATAAATTATTTCTTGATCTTTTACATGAGTATTTGTGGGAGATTTGTGACTGTGCATGAGTTTTTGTCTATTTATAAATGAAAGTTCTGTCTTGTGCTATCAAAAGTAAGAAAATATAAACCATTTCCTCCTTCCTCCATGATAATAGAATATTCCACCCTACTTCTTTAAACAATTTCTATTGAACAAATTCACTCTATATCATAGAAAAAATTCTAACATGCTGCTTCATCAAAATGTATGCATGATATACTTTGATAAATCAATAGATTCAATAAAAATCACCTGACTAAAGCACTTGCTTGCATCCTCTGCTGTGCAGTTGTGATTGTAGAATGCATATTTTATTACTCAAAAGAATGAAGGAATCAAATCATTCAAATGGAATACAGTAGGTTCCTTATTCTAATGCGTCAGTTATGGAGTCCTAATGTGAAACCTGTGTGCTTAGTACAGTGTATACATTTCTAAACAGATTTTAAAGAAATTCAATATAAATGTTTTAAAAAGAATAATGAACATTTTCAGGCATTGGGATATTGGCAGTTCTATATATGTGATTATTACCTGGATTTGAATTTCAGACATTTATAATAAGCCTGTAAAAGAATTGTGCTCTTGGTAATTTATAGACACTTTAAAAACTTTAGATTTTATTTAAAAATGCAATATTCCACTTCTTACATTATATTATTATAATATTTTAAACAAAATAATTTTTAAAAACTTTAAATGCATGCATGAATTGGCTACTGTTAGAATACATACTGGAGTTCCAGGGCAGAGAATGAAAATTATCAACATTATTTAACTTAATAATACACCTTCAACTTCTAATAAATGAAATATAATTCTGTCTATATATATCTGGAGGATATGTGCTATAGTATCACTTATTAAATTCCACACAGTATCTTTCAAAAAATATTTTTCTTTTCCTTTTTTTATTTTTCTTTTGTTTTCAACTAGGACCCCTACTATGGCTGGTGGCCTATTTTCTATTGACAGAAACTACTTTGAAGAGATAGGAACATACGATGCAGGAATGGATATCTGGGGTGGAGAGAATCTTGAAATGTCTTTTAGGGTAATTTTCCATTTTATTTCCTTTTGTAATAACTGGCAGATTTTCTGTAAAAAAGTTAACATTTAAGATAGGGATATTTTAATTTTGTTTGTCTTAAATGAAATCTTTTCCTTGGTTTGAAATTAGGGAGAGAATCCAAATGGAGGGCTTTTTCAGTGGAGGGCTTCATTCAGCAAAACCGGTAAAGGGCAAATTCCCTTCCTTCCAGGCTCTTTCCAGATCCTCCCTGAATAAGGAATTCTCTTACTCTTTGTTCTGCTGAGTGAAACCTTCTGTTCATGGAGTGATTTGAGCTGAATTTCATCCTTCAGTTTTGGTGCCATGGTTTTTTTGTTTTTTTCGTTTCACACAACATAACACATAATGTTATTTTTGAAGCTTTGGGTATCTGAAAACTGCATGATGTAGATTACAGGCCTATGGGTCATTATTAACCATATCTGTGTCAGTGTTGCATATGCCAATATGTTATTTCATTTCATGACTTCACAGCAAGTTGGGAGATGGAGGGTTATCATGGAAAGTCCACAACCATCATCAGGATTATGGATTAAGTACACATACTGTGGATGTCCCATAGTATGTGTATTTCTTTTATGCAGCCTGTGCAAAAATCTCATTTTGTTTCCTACGATTAATGTATATCTTTTTATCTAGAATTTGCCAAGCATATTATAGTTTCTCATTCAGATTTCCTAAGTATCTGGTGATTTTTATTTGAATGTTTTCCTGAATGTATACTAATTTTATGTGTGGGGGATTGTGTTGTTCTTTTCTAAGAAGACTTCACTTACTGCTGCTGTGCCGGCTGCATTTGAAATAAAGGAAATCCTTCATCAATTACTTTCACAACTCAGGTTGTGGGGGAGATCTAAAGTCAAGTCTTCCACCAGCCATGGAAGTTCTCTGAGTTATTTGGACTAATTTATTTATTTATTACGTTTATATGGATTAGCTACTTTCTCAGCCTGATCTACCTCAACTTCATTGTTGTGGAAAAACAGGAGAAAGAAGCGCTAATACATGTCTTGAGCTGCTCGGAGGAAAGGCAACCTATAAATTTAACAAATAAAGAAATAATAAATAACAAAATGCAAATATACATGCATTTATTTAACTGTTCATTTATTTTTTTAATTTATGTACGTGGCTTAAAAAATGTTCATGGTATTGGAAGCCAAAGCTTCCAAATGTTTTTGTCATGTGCTTACAGTAACATTCTTAAATTGTGTTTTAGGAATGGGAATTATGTTTCCAAGTGACTGAATCTGGAGCCAACCATTTCAGTCATCTGTAAATTTGAAGCCTATGACAGAAATGAAATGATGGAAATTTCTTGAGTTTCTCAGTGATCTTAAATAAATTAGAAAATTGATCTTAAAATAAAATGGGTATAAGAAAAAATAATAAATGACGGACTACAGAGATTTGTACTACTGTATTTAAAAGACCCTGTTTTCATAATGACTCATCTGATGGAACAATCAGCTCTCAAGGGTGCCACCCATAGCTTGCCACTTGTTCTTACGATATTCTCACTCATATATTTTACCCAAATCAAAACAGGATGTAGAAAATTACATATAGAGGCAGAACATGCACATTTATATTTCTGGTGGATATAATCTGAGGAATGCAAAGACAGTTGCTTCATTATTTATAGACTAGAGGGTCATAGGATGGGTGAATGTGTGAAACTCAAGGCTTATGGTATATTTTCTGCGTGCAGGAGGGGGCGCTGAATGATTGCTCAGATCATCCTACAGAAGTTCTCTGAAACCTTTTCTATTTCAGTTGTGAGCAGAAAACCTTTGGCAGTCAGTTAGGAGGCATTTTTGAATACTGAATTTCTTATCTTTGATTGGAGATAAAAGTCTTTAATTACTCTTTTTCTGGGAACTTAGGTATAGAAATTCCAATAGAGGAACAGTTGGAGAAGGAGGAGTTGCCTGGCTTTATGCAAGCCATATTTGCCCTGTGGGTCAGGGCTTTCCTCTGTCTGCCAAAAGGATTTTTGGAACAGATGTTCAAGGGGATAATTATTTTTGTCCTAGTAAGCATACCCTACATGCTAATTACAGGACTGGCCCGTCTTAATATCCACACCCAAAGAGCCTGCTTCTGCTTATACTCCCAGCATTATTCCAGCCTGCATGATGGGTGGTCAATCAAGCAACAGTCAGACATCCATTGTCCAGTACTATGCCAAATTCTATAAGCTATAGTTGATAAAGTTTATGGAGTCTTTTCACTCACCCCTGACTATATGTATTTAATTTTACCCTAATTAGCATTTGTTTTATGTTTGGGTCATATTGCACATATCCTGCTTGTGGACTTCTCAGAGATTTCTGGTTGCCTGCTGGAGGAACAGGAAGCTGTTGTAGATAGCATTTTGAGTGATTCAGGAGGAATCTTCTTATGATCTTATCTATATGACACATATAGCATACATATAATATTGATGTGAAAAATTCTGTGCTTTTAAGCATTTGAAAGTATGATCCATCAGAATATTATTGTGAGATGCAAGCTATTGCTCTATATTCAAAAATTATTTTGGGCTGCTTTAGCTAAGCCATTACTCAATTAAAAAAAACACACACAGAGACACTTGGATTTTTTGAAGTTTGCTGTCTGACTTCCCTTCTTTCTGAGATCTTAAATGTACACTCTTTTATCTTTAAATGATTATCTAAGGTAAAAATGTCTTTCTCTCTTTTTACTAAAACACATCTATTACATGTTAAAAAAGGCAAGAATAACATCAAAGATTCCAGAGGTAATTTAGCATGGCACAGCACTGAATCAAATCACTATCACATTTCTGCATCAAGGCTTGTAAAGTAAATTGCTTAACGGGCATGCCTGAATCACACAAAATCAGACAATGTAGCTCTCCGTCTCTGATAGCTGAAGTGACTTGAGTCTAAATTCTTCTTGTTACATCCTTACTAATCTAATATTCACATTAGACAGAATGGGCTCGCTCCTTTTTTTAACTCTCTGTAAAGAAGATTGTAGAAATTTGCTGCCTTATCATTCACATAGAAGTAAAAAGTCCTTTTAGATGTTATATAATACATTTTCTATAACATCTGACTGAGCTCATTGCAATGTTTGTTATTAATTTCTGTTTATATATTTGATGTATATCTTACCCCTCCTCCAGAAGTTCAAGGGGCATGCATACTATTCCTTCCTCCAGTTCTGATCTACAACAAGAATCCTTGATGTAGGTTGAGCTGAGAGAGAGAAACTAGTCCAAAGTCACCCAAGTGGGTTGAGGATGAATTTGAACCATGAGACTTCTCCAACTGTCAATGTAAATAGAGAATATTATAGGCATGAAGGGAGTGGGTAGGAATTTTCTTATTTACATTTTTAATTTTAGTCATCTTCATCTGGAAGTGTCATATGTTTGGTTAGCCACACTAGAGCTTCTACTAAATGCCTAGGATTAAAAAAAAAGAAATCAGGGCATGTTGCATCCAGCTTATATTCAGGAGTGTTTAAGAAACAGAGAGATATGGATATACTCCAAGTATCAATTTAAGCATCAGAGTATTGTAATTTGAATATAAATTGAGTCCTTTCTTCAGTGAGGAATTGAAATATTTTTAGAAATTGGAACCCTATTGATATTTATAGTTCTATTTTTTAAAAAAAAAAAAAGGCAAGCAAACTGAAAACTGAATGCTTCTTTGGCATTATACATACATAGTTTGTGGGATAAATGGTACCAACTGTATGCCACAGCTTATCGCTTTCCCTTTTTTCTTTGAGAAGTCTGTGACCAAGTGAGCCATTAGCCGTCTAGAAGATCTGTGACCTTGCTGGGCTGTGCTTTTCATTGCCTAAGAAATCTTAAGTAATAAATTGCCTAGAGAGGAAACCTATTTCCCTCCCACCTTTCTCTGCATATTTGATCTTTAAGAAAAATAATAATGGAATGAACTGCTCAAATCAAATAAAGAAGCACACATTATGTGGACAATTCTGTGAAAAGAAAATGGTACTGAAAATAAGCAGCACTGATGAAGAATGGGGAAGCAAGGCACTGCTTTTTGAAGCTGAGTATCAGAAATTAGGAATAAAAAGAAATTGGGTTTCTCTTCCAGATCATTATAGATCTTAAGAGATCTGCAAGAAATGAAGCAGACTGTTTTATACACTATAGATTCCAGCAGCCCAACTGTGACTGACAAGATGCATTTTGGTGTTGTAGCAGTTCATATACCAGCTATAATATTTGAAAGATTCTTTTTACACAGTTTAATGTAGTCTAATTACACAGATGCCAGGACTTTGCAGCCTTGGCAGTGGGAATGCAGTTAGATCAAACTACTAAAAACTCACTTTCAAAGATTATGCTGAAAGCCATTTCTACTGCTTCAGGGTTGGATTATTCTCAAAACGTTATTTTTATCACAACATTGCTGTTTTTTAGGAGTGGTATTTAGTGGGGAAAGTTATAGAAGCTGGACCTATCATAATATTACATATATTGGATTGTAGAACGTTACAAGTAGCCCTCATTTGGTGATCACAATTGGGACTGGCAACTCAGTTAAGCAAAGCGGTCTCTAAGTGAAACCGTGACTGTGCTTACAATCTTACTTCAGCTTTCCTTTGCTTTACAGACCTGTGAAGGTTGTAAATACAAGGATTGGTCACAAAGTTACTTTTTCATCACTGTCATAACTACAAATGGTCACTAAATGAGGCAGTCACTAAATGAGGACCACCTGTAAAGGCAATGAGGTTAAAGAACAAACTGCAGAGTATAATGCAGGTCTTTAATTGCAGGCATGGAGTGATTTTTTTTAACTTTAAAAAAATTAAAACCAACATGCAAATGGTCACATTTATTGTATTTCGAGAGTAGTAAGGCATTGAGTCTGTTTGGAAATCCCACTGTTTTTAAAGAATAGTTCCCAGGATTAAAGCACATTTTCATTTAAGCATAAAAGGAAACATGGATATTTAGTTGAGATGTG